CGCCTGGGCAGGAAGACCTCATTTCTAAAATAAATCAAAAAATCAGCCGGGCGTGGTAGCGCATGCCTGTAATTCCGGCTACTCGGAAGACTGAGGCGGAAGGATCCCCGGAGCCCAGCAGGTCGAGGCTGTGGTGGCCGGGAGCGGCCACTGCACTCCAGTCTGGGCGACAGAGTGAGACTCCAACTCAAAAAAAAAAAAAAAAAAAATTTAACGTCAACCATTTGATGCCATGGGAAGTATGCATCACGTGGTTCTACTGCATATTGAAATGTGGTGGTGGTTCTATAAAACATGATTGTGATTGATTTGAGAGTTTATTTTTTTTTAAGCTTGAAAGAACAATTGACAGATAAACTGACTATGCAGATGTGGCTTTGCTAGATATTTTCTAAAAAAATCAGTGAATGAACCTGTCATTTCAAAAAGAACAACTGATAGTATTTGTTGCCAATGGTAAAATCTCTACTTTTAGCAAACATTAGAGTGTTATAGACATGTGTCTACCACTGTGACCCTGAGAGTTTCCTAATACCTAGGTCTTTTTCTGATGAGATTGGTGGTAATATTATCATGTGATTTTTAATGTTGTAGAAAAAAGTGTAGCAACATTTGGAAGATCTGCGTAAGTAGAACTATCAGTATTTTCCAAATGTCTAGCCCACAAAAGATCCATCCAAGTGCAAGACAGACCGTGGGTTTTAACGTAGCAACATGAAAAGTTCATTGCTCAGAGTTCGCATGGCAGCTGCTCTCTAGGAAACAGTTGTAGTAGCTGTCAAAGGAGAATAGCCACAGTTATTTGAGATGATTACTAAAAAACTTCCTTTTCCAACCATCTACCTTTGTAAGGTGACATTTTCTTCATATATTTCAACCAAGCAATGTATCATGACAGATTAAATGCAAAAGAAGACGTGAAAATCTAGCTGTCATCTTTCAAGCCAGATAATAAAGAGATTAGAAAAAATGTGAGCCAGCGCCACATTTCTCACTAAAAAATTTTTATTTTGAAAACATAGTTATTTTTCATTTTTATATGAAGTGAATTAATAAACTTTGTAAAAGCTGTCTTAATTTTAAGGTGGTAAATCTCGATAGAGATGGCCCACATAGGCAAAACCAAGGGGTCCTGATTCTAGAACACTGGAGAAGTTCTGCTGCCTCCTCACTGAGAGTTTCTGGATTTTGTTTCTTACCCTGAGTTAGTCCCTACTTCATGTGTGCCTGAACATAGTGGAATGTTCCTGAAGCCAGTCTCCTTTTCCGACTTCCTTGGCTACCTCCTCTGTTCTCCGGCTGAATTTTCTCCTCAATTTAATACTGTGTATCTAAAGCACACTGAGGCTACTGACTCTGGACAGTCATTTTATGTTCTTTTTTTTCCTCCTTAATTATTGGCCTGTAGACATCTCTGGAATATCAGAAACTGCAGGATTCCAGTTCTTGTTATGAGTCCCTTGCCCTCCATCTCGGCAGGAAGAGGAAGGAAGCAGAGTACACGCTGGGCTTCTGGAAGACCTTCCCTGGAAAAATGACGGTAACCGCCCTTGCTGCTTGTCACCCAGGTATACGCAGGCCTTTCCAGAATAGTTGCCACGGCCTGCCTTTCTCCCTTGATCATGGTGATGACATTTCAGTGGTCTCTCTCCTGTGATGTTTAAAGACCCACCACAGGGGTGCTCTGAACACCTTCCTGCATTTCTGGGAACCCTCTGAGGACTCACCTCACCTTCCTTAGTTTGCTTGTCTTTTTCATCTTCTTTGAGCTCTAATTTTATGAAGTGTTTGGAGCCTGTACAGATTTAGTTTAGTTTGGGCACCAAGCTAAACTATGACCTCTAAGGTCCCCTCGGTGAATATGTGTGTGTCAATTTCTTGATTTGTCTTTCCAGGACTCCCTGCGGAGGCCTGAGCGCCGTCTGCTGTGTGAGAGCAGCAACCGTGCCCTGTCTCTGCAGCATGCAGGGCGGTTTTCCGTGAACTGGTTCATTCTCTTTAATGATGCCCTGGTCCATGCCCAGGTAGGCTGGCTCCTAACTTAGAAGAGGCCCAGGAGGGTGGAGTACTGTACTTAGTGATTAACTAGACCATCAGTTTATGTTAAAAACCACTGTGATTTTGCTGAAACTATTGCATAAAGAGAACGGTTAGGTACAGCTTGTGTTTGTGGCGTGGTCTGGATTTCAGAGAACTGGTCTGGTTTCCAGCTTGGGATCAAGTGTCAGCCTGGGATGGCGTCCCTACAGCAGAAATGGCAGGGCTCACCAGGTTAACTGTATGATTGGGGCTACGTGGCAGATGGCTACAGCTTAGCCATCTTGAAGGCTGTGCTGCAGAGACGGTAGGGCCCATTGGGGTTAGTGAGTAAAGGACATGTGGCAGAGCCCCCAGGGCCACATGGTTTCCATGAACGTGCCTCGCTCTCTGTTTCAGTTCTCCACACACCACGTTTTCCCTCTGGCCACGCTGTGGGCGGAGCCACTGTCTGAAGAAGCTGGCGGTGTGTAAGTGCCTCCTCTTAGCCCCATTCACCCTGTTTCCAGGTGGTTTCCTTCACTGTGAAGGAAGCTCGGAGGGCTGAGAGCAACCTCCCAGCTGCCTAGTGGGGCTCACCTGTAGCCTGTCAGCTGGTGAAGTGGCCTGCTGTTGATAAAATGCACTGGTGGGGATGGTGGGTGTCTCCACGGCACTTGGCCACTGCTGAACACAGAGCAGAGTCGCTGTCCTTCCCCATGGCAGGACTCAGATCCAGGTCAAGGAGCACTTCCAGCAAAATGACTTCTCTTGAGATAGATCGATTGCTTTTCATATTTGAAGACAGATGTTGTAGTGACGGGTTTTCATGCCTACTGGTGCTTGTCCTTGTGAATGTTTTAGGAATGGCTTAAAGATAACTACCCCCGAGGAGCAGTTCACACTCATCTCATCAACACCCCAGGAAAAGGTTAGTCCCTATGGTATTCTCTTTCAGTCTTTGGCTGGTTCTTTGTACCTCTTGTGGCAGGGAAGAAGAAATAAAAATTGTTCTTCCTTGACGAATGATCTGCAGGTATGTCTGATAGATCTTCATTAAACTAGAACTACAGGGTTTTTTTTTAATGTTACTTAATCTTAAACATACAGCAGTGAAATCAAAGAGCCAATCTGTATTACTCAGTAAGAAAAGCACTAGGAAGCCGGGCTCGGTGGCTCAGCCTGTAATCCCGCGCTTTGGGAGGCTGAGGTGAGTGAATTGCCTGAGCCTGCAGGTTCAAGACCTGCCTGGGCAACTTATCTCTACAATAAATAAAAAAAAATTAGCCAGGCGTGGTAGTGCGTGCCTGTAGTTCCGGCCACTTGGAAGGCTGAGGCGGAAAGATTGCCGAAGCCCAGCAGGTTGAGGCTGTGGCGACCGGGTGTGTGCCACTGCACTCCAGTCTGGGCGACAGAGTGAGATTCCAACTCAAAAAAAAAAAAAAGAAAAGCACTAGGAGACAGAACATTTATTCATACCAAACTGTTGCCTTAAGCTGATTGACATTCACTTTTTGCTCTTAGACTAAGTGGCTTCGAGCTATAAGCCAAGCTGTGGATCAGGCTTTGAGGGGAACATCTGACCTTCCACCATATGGAAGTGGCAGTAGTGTTCAGAGGCAGGAACCGCCCATTTCACGCAGTGCCAGATACACTTTCTACAAGGATCCTCGCCTAAAGGACGCGACCTACGATGGACGCTGGCTCTCAGGGAAGCCTCATGGCAGGTGATCGCACATAAGGTTCATGTGGGGGTGAGGGTGGTTACACAGTCCAGAAAACCATCGAGGATCTGAACCACTAGCTGACATGCATTCCTCTTGCTTATGCCTTCAGGGGCATTTTGAAGTGGCCCGATGGGAAGATGTATTCCGGCATGTTCAGGAATGGCTTAGAAGATGGGTAAGAACACTGAAACATGACAACAAATTCAAGTTCATCCCAAGTTATGTTACTTTGTATTCAGAGATGCTTTTCACACAAGTAGCAGGTTCTTACTTTGTTTTATAGAGAAGCATACAGGGTGTTAGGGGCTCATGTTGCATGTGTGTGAGCATGAAGAGGGCAGGAATCTGGAGGCATCTAATCTGCCTAGATGAGTCATTGACCTTGAGAGCCATGTGACCTCACACCACACAGCCTTCCATCTGTTAGAGTGGGATTGTGTTCTGTAGCCATTTCTTGGGTGTGAAGACTGAAAGGCTAGGTTAAGGTTGCTGGTGAGACTTGAGGCAGTAGAGCCCCTTTTACACAAAGAACATGGAGATACTTTCCTTTCCGCTGTTTTAAATAATCTTTGGTTTCTGTCATACGTTAAAGGGGTAATCTTTCAAGTGATACAATATTCTAGTGATGCTCTAATGACATTATTTCATATAAGCTTGTCATGTTTTCTAACACTAAATATATTCACATAATTTATGGCAGTGAAGTATTTTGTATCATGTTAAGGTAATTTATTTTGCTATACAAAAAAGATATATCAATTAGGTAGATGATGTGTGTCTGTATGATAACTGTAAATTTTTGTGATGTTTTAAAATAGGTTTTTATTTTTTCTGCTTTTTACTTTTTTTTTTTTTCTTTTAGAGACAGGTTGTTGCTTTGTCATCCAGGCTGGAGTGCCGTGGCATGATCATAGCTCAATATAACCTCTACCTCCTGGGTTCAAACAATCCTCTTGCCTCAGCCTCCTGAGCTGGGACTGTAGGCATAGACCACACACCTGGCTAATTTTTAAAAATTGTTTGTAGAGATGAGGTCTTGCTATGTTGCCAGACTGTTCTCAATCTCCTGGCTTCTCCTCCTGTCTCAACCTCCCAAAGTGCTGATATTAGACACATGAGCCACCATGCCCTGCCTCTTTTTAATAGATTTGTAGAATGAGAGACTAGATAATCTGATTTACTCTGACTTACTCCCTTATTATCCAGACGAAGCTAGATAACTGGGCTTACCCAAGGTGACGTAGCTAACAAGTGACAGATGCAGGCCTAGAACACAGGTCTTCTGTTTTCACTGGACTTGGGATAAAGCACCTTATCTCAGTATATTGGGATTGATGTCCCACTCCTCTAAGGCTTGCCAAACAGTGGAGGTAATAAATTCAGCTTAAACCAAGCCCCGTTTACCCCCTTTCCTCCTGTAGGGAAATCTTTTCTCTGTCTTCCTTGTTAGAATGTTCACCAATACACATACACGAAAGGAAAATATGTCATAAATGCATCTTCTATTTTGTTTGTTTTATTTTCCATGGCAGGTATGGAGAATACAGAATCCCAAACAAGGCAATGAACAAAGAAGATCACTATGTGGGCCACTGGAAAGAAGGGAAAATGTGTGGTCAAGGAGTCTATAGGTGAAAAGTCTGTTGGACTGGTGTTGGTTTTTCAAAGAATCATGTAAATCTAAATGCCTGTGTAGCAGAATCCACAGGGAGTACATTTCACTTACTCTTCTAATGACTGAAACTCTTTGTAAAGTCTTCTTTTAAAGATCAACCCCTCATCTATCACAAGATGAAAGTATTGGGTCATTAAATATAGTTCTTATGTCTGTTATACATACCTTATAAGCCATAACTTATAGTCTCCTACATGTCTTATTTATACATTTACATCATTTTTATTATTTGAATCAAATGTAAAAAAGACAGAACTTTTTATTCTTCCTTCTCATAAATAATTCATTATTTCTTTTACCCATAAGAGAGTAGAGACACATTTTTTCCATGTTAATGCAAAATGCCACCTGTAATGTCTTGACCCTTTAAGCCTTAATCATTCAAGAATTAGATTTTTTTATTGGTGAAAAATAATCTTATAAGCAAATCATTATAGCTACTAGTGAGAGTGAGTATGGTTTTGGAGTTCCTCCACTTTGTAAAGTTAGGCATCTGAATTCAACATGCATGTGATATTTACCTGTTCTTTCCAACCACAGCTATGCCTCTGGTGAAGTGTTTGAGGGCTGTTTCCAAGATAATATGCGTCATGGTCATGGCCTCCTACGAAGCGGGAAATTGACTTCCTCTTCTCCCAGCATGTTCATTGGCCAGTGGGTGATGGATAAGAAGGCAGGATATGGTGTCTTTGATGATATCACTAGGTACAGTATGCTGCTTCTGAGTTTAGTATATTAAGAAAAAAATCTTAATAAGGAAACAGAGTTGTCAGCCACCACTTTACCCATCTTCTTGTGAACCAGACAGTAGGTTACTTTTTTATGGGAGGATCATCCAAAATTAACACTGGCACCTTTTGCCTTCAAATCTCACACATACAAAGCTTTTAGTATCTCAAAGAAGCTCCCAAATCGTTATTATACAAAGAAAAATCCTTAATGCAGTCAATAGAAAATAACAGAAGCTCGTGTAATAAAAGGGGGGTGGGATGTCAGTCCCCTTTGGGATGACAGAATGGTGTCTCAGCAGCTTTCTAAGTGCTTAGGTTTTCCTATCACCTCAGACTTGTTATCGGGCCAGCAACCTAGGCATCAAGCCTAGTTAAATTGAAATAACTAAATCTGGGGGAGGAATATAGTTCTTTTGCCTCCATATCAGTTAGACCCAATTTGCTTTAGACTTAGTACGTATAGTAGGTCCCCCTTATTCGAGGGGGTTATGTTCCAAGGCCCCCAGTGGATGCCTCAAACTGTGGGTGGTACCTAGCCTGATTGCTGTTGATTGGAAACTGTTTCTGTTATATCTTCCACCTGCAAATTTAATGCCTTTTCCATCCTAACTAAGCACTGATCACATTCCATGGCCATCACTTTTGCAGATTGAGATGAGACAGCAAAACTAGCACATATTTCTTTCTCCTCCACAATTTCACAGATTTGTTCTTATCATAGACTTAACCATAGCAACCTCAGCATATGACCTTTTTCCTTTCCTCATTAAGAACTCTCACCTTTTCTCTTAAAGAAAGCGATTTGCAGCTTCTCTTTGGCATATGTGAGCTGCCAGCATCACTACCCTTGTGCTTTTGGGCCATTATTAAGTAAAGTCAGGGTTATTGGACACAGCACAGCAATTCTGAGATGGTCCATATCTGCTAACTGAAGCGGCTGTGCAATGACTGATGGGCGGGAGAGTCCTCAGAATGGACACACTGGACACAGGGGTGGATCATGTCCTGGACAGTAGGGAGCGGGGCATCACTGAGTTTCATCATGTTCCTCAGAATGGCATGCAATTTAAAACTTATAAACTGTTATTTCTGGAATTTCCATTTAATAATTTTGGACTACAGTTGACTGCAGGTAACTAAACTCACAGAAAGCGAAACCCTGAAAAGTAGGAGACTCCTGTACTCGTTTTCCCCTCATGTTATTAAGTACCATGGCTTCCACAATGTGGGATTGTTTCTTGTTTTTGTTTTTGGGAAGGGTCTTGCTCTGTCGCCCAGACTGGAGTTCAGTGGCTTGATTATAGCTCACTGCAACCTCAAACTCCTGGGCTCACACCATCCTCCCAGATATCTGGTACTACAGGCACACACCACCACACCTGGCTAATTTTTTTCTTATTTTTTGTAGAGACAAGGTCTCACTATGTTTGCTTAGGCTGGTCTCAAACTCCTGTCCTCAAGCAATCCTCCTGCTTTGGCCTCCCTAATATCTGAGACGACAGGTACACACCACCATAACAGGCTTATTTTTTCTTATTTTTTGTAGAGACAGGGTCTCACTACATTGCCCAGGCTGATCTTGAGCTCTTGGTCTCAAGTGATCCTCCTATGTGGGCCTCCCAAAGTGCTGGGATTACAAGTGTGAGCCACCATACTCAACCCATAATGTGGGATTTTTAAAAAATTGCTGTTATTACTAAGCACCATGATTAGTTATCAAGCAGTTTATACTTATTTTGTATTGTTAATGGAGACTAGTAAGATTTTTTTTGAGTTTTTAATAGGTGAAAAATGCACCTTCTTTTCTGACAAAACCTTTTTTTTTCTTTTTTTTTTTAACTTGGCAAACCTTTGGGTAAGAAAGAAATCATGCATAGGTTTCATTTTGCCTATTACGTCTTGAATGAAATTACTTAGCACTAAACAGCCTTCATTTTTTGCTTACATATGTCAAGGTTATCAAGTGAGTACATGGAGTATCTACAGGTCTGCGTCAGGTAGACTACATCACTGCATTCCTAAGAGAACATTACTTGGAGTGAGATGTCTTTTGCTGTCACATTGACCCATGTTTGAGGAGTCAGAGCTGACCACTTTAGAAAAACAGAGTGGATACCCACCTACGGGCTGCTTGGTATCCCCCATGTGACAGTGGCTTATTCCCCAAGTTGTCTTTGTCATCACTGCTTTTTCTTTTATTTCTCTGCAGGGGGGAGAAGTATATGGGAATGTGGCAGGATGATGTATGTCAAGGGAATGGTGTGGTCGTCACCCAATTTGGCCTGTACTACGAAGGCAGCTTTCATCTTAATAAGATGATGGTAAGAGAATATTTGCACATAGTCATTATTGAGTTTTAAAACTCCTGTGTCCGTACCTTTTAAAATCATCTGTTTACGATCGCCCTACCTTCTTGGTACTGTGTTTCTTGTCCTTTAAGAGGATGTGAGGCTCTGGGGATATGGCTGCATACATGTGACTCTGAATCTATGTGTTGTGACTTTTGTCTTATTTCTCCTCCTAGGGAAATGGGGTATTACTTTCCGAAGATGATACTATCTATGAGGGAGAATTTTCAGATGATTGGACTCTCAGCGGAAAGGTTGGAAACCAACTTTCTTTCTTTCTCTAACACACTCTTTTATTCATGTTTTTTGACTTTTCAAAAACTAATTTCATATAGAACCCATCCCTTCTAAGTGCACACTTCAACGATTTTGAGTATATGTATGGGGTTGTGCAGCCATACCACAGTCCAGTTTTTGGACACTTCCGTTATCCAGGAAGAACTTCCATTTCTACCACCAGTCTCAGCAGCCATTCGTCATTCTACACATTTGCCTTTTCTGGGCCTTTCGCCTGAATGGAGTCATGCGTGTGGTCTCTTCCGTGTGGCTTCTTATAAATAGCTTAATGTTTTTGAAGTTTTTCTATACTGTGGCATGTGTAGTACTTTGTTCCTTTGTATTCGGTATTCCTTAGGCTGGAGTGCAGTGATATGGTCTCAGCTCACTGCAGCCTCTACCTCCTGGGCTCAAGTAATCCCCCTTCCTGAGCCTCCTGAGTAGCCGGGACTGCAGGCATGCACTACTCATGCCCAGCTAACTTGCTTACTTTTTTTTTTTCTGAGTTGGAGTCTTACTCTGTTGCCCAGACTGGAGTGCAGTGGCCGCTCCCGGCCACCGCAGCCTCGACCTGCTGGGCTCCGGCGATCCTTCCGCCTCCGCCTTCCGAGTAGCCGGAATTACAGGCATGCGCTACCATGCCCGGCTGATTTTTTTTATTTATTGTAGAGATGAGGTCTCGCTGCCCAGGCGGGTCTCGAACCCGCGGGCTCAGGCAATCCAGAA